CACACACACACACACACACACACACACACACACACACACACACACACACACACACACACACACACACAGTGACTAGAGTATTACTAGATGATTTATTGTTACTAAGTCCAAGGATTCTTTTGTGTTTATTTCAGAACTTTACCTTTTGGCAAGTTGGTTCAGAGGGCAGCTGAAGAAAAGCATAAGGAATTCTTTATTTCAGAGGTAATTGCTTTTAAGACATTTTCTTAAGAAAGCATTAATATGTAAATACTAAATTATTTTCTTATAAAAAGAATATTAGATATGTAAGAACTATAGCCTTCCATATATCCTAGCTGTGTTATTTATTAAGTCTCAAACCTTGTCCAAATTATCCTTCTATGCCTCAGTGTTCTCATCTATGAAATAGGAATAATAACGGTACCTATTTCATAAGGTTTTTGTGACAGTTAACTAAATAAAATCTATAGAGTACTTAGCACAGTGCCTGACACGTAGGAACCACTCACTAAATGTTAGCTATTAATATTACTTCCTCTGAAAATGCTTTGGTCTGATATGCCAAGTTCAAATGCTAATGGAGAACTTTATTTTCATATCTTACTATTAGACTATTTCTATATTTTATTATTGTTATTATCAATGTGACTTCTATTGTGTGTATTTACTATAATATTTGTTCAGGATTAAATGCAGAAGAATTCTACTTATTTACATTATAATCCCGCTTTAAATAATTTAAATGTCTTGAGATAAGGCATTGAGGCTTTTATAAATACAAATTTTTTAAAATATTTACTCTGTTATCTCAAAAGCACATTTGATAAGTAAACTGCTTTTTAAGCTTTGAAGAAAGCTATTGTCTGCATCTGAGCCAGCTGGGCTGCTGGTCAGTTTGGTGGTAAAAAGTGTTGTGTTTTCACAGTTCTCTCATCGGGTGATGTTTACACTAGATCCACCAGTATCCCTACAAACTCCAGAAATCTGTATTCTATAGTATTACTAGAATATCTACTAAAACTGAATCCATTAGCTGTACCTGAAAAATGTTTTTTAACTTTACAGCCATGCTTTAACATACATGTTCAGTTGCCCTTTGGTATCAGTCCTTTCCTGTCCAAGGGTAATGAATGGCACAGATGTAAATAGCCATGAAATGTCAAGTGAAGCAAAAGAAACAAAGACAAGATAAAGGGATTAAAGTCTAAAAATTAGGGTGAGTGTGTAAGTAAGATGAATATGGACTATTAGTTCAGTTCTCTAGGAAGCATACGCTGAGATGGAATTAGGACTACAGAAGGTTTATTGGGAAGTAATACCTGTGAAAGGGAAGGAGAGGATTGGGTAGAGGGTGCCATCAGACGGTGCTACAGAGCTGACAGTCTGTCTGCCAGCTCAGTGTGGAACTCCTGAGTGAAGACGACCTCTTAGAGGAGTCCTGTCTTGGGTAGCAATGTCTAGGCCTTTTACCATCTTGCTTAGTCATTGGCTGGGGCTACCCCACGAAGAGCATGACCTTCAGTTCAAAGGGTGAGGTGGACCTGCAGGAGTTAACAGCTGGCAGCTGTAACTTAATCACACTCCTTGCAATAAGTTATGAATCCTTTCTTGAAGGGCAGTCTGTGGTGCATCTCTGTACCTGCCACATGAATTTACCTTTTAAATCCTGAAACATTAGAACTGGTAGAGACTCTTAGAATTTTAAAGAACATACTTTGAAATCTGTTTAGCCAGTAATAAATTTATGGAACTTATCTGATATGGTACTAGTTAAAATTTTAAAAACAGTGAATCTAGGAGTTTAGTAAAATTTATCAACAGAGATGTATAATATATTGTTAGGGTAAATAAAATATATTTTGAAGTTGGTGTTATAATGGTCAATGTAAGTATAAAAGAGGCAGAATTCTTGAGTTGGGTTGCCCCTGTGCTTGACCTGATATATCTCAGTTCTCTAATTATTGCAGGAAACGCAGGCAATACAGTGCTTCATAATTCAAATAGTTCCCTATTAGAGCTACTCAGTGAAGTTATAATTGCCAATTTTTTAAAGCATCAACTTAAACTTATTACTATGAAATGACATATTTCTAATTCGTACATGAGCTGACTCTTAAGGATTTGGCTTGAGAATTATGTGATTAGGGATAAACTTAGCTTTATAAAATGCAATGTTTCAGATTTAAAAAAAAATATTTTTAAAAGTATAAAGTATTTTATTTATCTTCTATTCTACATTTATATTATGTTAGTTTGTCGTTGGCCCTTAGCAATGCTCTGGGATCATATGTGCTATACAAATGGGAGTTCTTTTAAGTCTTAAGACACTGTTAAGATTGTAAATAATTTGGAGTATAAATAATTTGGAGTATAATTTGGAGTATAAATTAAGCATTGTGGCTTTAGATGTGGTATGTGTGTGTCCCCTTTAGGATTTATTTTACTTAATGTTTTGTGGATCCTGTCGTTATTACAAGCAGCATATAGAGACATTTCTTCATACAGCCACCAGAGAGCATTAGTAGAAAGGGTAAGAAAATGGAACTTTTTCAAAAATGACTTAAGAGGGTTAGCTTTTCAGATTCATTTCCTTCCATCTTTACTTTCTAATATTTTTAAGTGAATACTGATATTGTTTTTCTTTGGAATGTTTAAGGATGAGAAGTACTACCTACGATCACTTGGAGAAGACCCTAGAAAGGTAAGAATTCTGAATGTAACAAGTTGTCTGATCTCTCCACAATTAAGAAATCTGTTCTACTGTATATTTTACAGATGGCCATTCAGCTAATAAAATATAATCTAAAATAATTATAAAAATCCTGGATAATTCATATATATGTATTCAGAATCAAATTGATATGAACACAGTGTTAAGGAGTGGTCCCTAAAATGATCAGGTCAGATTCTATCTTTTCTCTTTATCGCACTATTATTTCTTTACCTTCTTTTATTCTTCCCCCTTAGTAGTACCCACAGGTTTTATGTAATTGATAACATTCAAGTTGATGACTCCTAAACTTAAATATTAGAGTAGATGGCAATTGTATGATTCTTGCTTAAAGTAGGAAGAACTTTTCTATTAGTGAAGCATATTAAGCTTAACAATAGTGATATTGTTGAATGTCTTGGTACATAGTCTGTCATTCCTTCAGTTGAAAGATCATGCGTTGGCTATGGTCACATCCTAGTATTTTAAAGCAGTGAGCAGAGTTTTGCCCCATTCCTCCATATTATCATGGGCTCCGATGGCAGCCTTATATAAAATAAGCATTATGCCAATATTGTGTTTATTATTAAAATTCTCATTGTTTCTCTCAATGCAGGATGTTGCAGATATCAGAAAGCAGTTTCCTTTATTGGAAGGAGATATTAAGTTTCCAAAATTCTTCAAAGAAGAGCAGTTCTTTTCCAGTGTTTTTCGAATTAGCTCACCAGGGTTACAACTTTGGACCCACTATGATGTATGCTGCATAAATGAGAAATCTAAAACTACAGTAGCTTTTTAGAATTTATGGACTTAACATTCACAGTTTCAACTTTTTGGAGGTTACCCCAAAGATCTTTGACATGTGATTTGCTGAAACGTGAGGTTTGAAAACAGGTGCTCTGCAAGGTAGTGGTATGGGAGTGAATTATTTTAGTTAATGCCAAAGCCTAGTTAGTTTCTTATATTTGCATTTCTCTGTGGGCTTATTCTTGGTTCCTCATTAATATATACTAAGTTTTTTGAAGTGTTTTTTTTACATGTGAAAAGTGGACACCAGATGAGGGGGAAAGCTGCGAAAGTGGGAAAAATGTTAAGGTTGTAGTATGAGGATGTTGAAGTGATACATGACTAGATGGAACCATTGTTGAGGAGAAAGGCAGGAGTTTGTGGAGAGCCATTTCCAATTATAAGAATTTGGGGACACCTGAAGGTCTTAGGCTGTATATCCCTTGAGAATGTCAAGTGTCTACTGTATTTATTGAGCAGCAAGATGTGTAGAGTATTGATCTTGATCATTTATTCTATGGTGTTACAATTTTATTTGCTTAAACATATGCATATAAGTATCTAAAAATATTAAAAATCTAGTATTGTGTTTGGTTTGGTGTTGGGTGGAGAAATTTAAAAAGCTTAAAGCAATACCTAATAGGTTTCTAAAGATAAAAGAATATTTTGAAAAGTTCTGAGTTAAATTTAATAAAGTTTTAGAAGTGTGTTTTACAATTTAGCTGAGCCCCTCGGGAGGATTTTAACATAGTATCTCTATAATTAAATGAGATAGATATAAAGTCAGCATATTTTTTAAGGTTTTATTTACATGAATGATAAGGTGAGAAAATGATGTGTTAACTCAAACTTTTTAACTGTATTCAATGACTATATTTTATGTAGTATCCATTTTATCTTAAATATTATAAAGTTTTTCTTAAAAATAAGTCAAAGGAATGCTAGTTATATAGTTAAAGTTTACATAAGTCGAGGGTTAGTGGTAAAAGGAGAAATGCTTAGGTAGAAGTGATACGTACTCAATAAATAATCATGAATATATTTTGCTTAGTATATATTTTAATTCCTTAGCTGAGAATTATGTAGCTCTGCCTTCTAACATTTTTCAAAATTTGACTAATGTAGTGTACCCTTACAAACACAGGAAAAGTCAGGATTGCTCCATTATTAATAGGTTCATCAAGAAAATTTGCCAAGTTATAGTCCTATAGAAATAATTTGAAAATCAAGATACATACCTATAACCAAATTATGGTTGGCCATATAGTAAAAGAGTTTAGCAGTAGTTGCAGCAGTACCGTGTATTTTCCCAACACCTGGTTTTCCTAAGTGCTTTCAACCTGTTGTCTAATTTTGGCCGTATAGCATTCCTTGACAGATAAGTAAAATAGATACTTACCAAGGGGAACCTCAAATAGGTGTAACTATACTTGCTGTCAGAATGGTGGGGCAAAGGCAAATAGTTTTCTGACTTCAGATTTCCTAATAGCTTGCCAATCCTTCCCATTTTAAGACAGTGTTGGAGAAATAATGACACAGTTGTGTGACACAACTGTTTTCCTTATTAGATTAGAATATCACTGTAAGTTTTAGGTAATGTGAGTCAAGCTTTATTAAAGGATAGGATTTACGGTTAACTGTTTGGAATACCATTGGTTCTGTGTATTTGAATTTTAGATACTGCTTATTCATAAGTTCTTATTCGTCTTCAGGTAATGGATAACTTCTTAATACAAGTGACAGGAAAAAAGCGTGTTGTACTATTCAGTCCTCGAGATGCCCAATATTTATATTTATCAGGTACTATTTTTTTTTTTAAGTTTAAATTTCTAAAGTTTTATTTATTCAGTTAGTTTTTTTTTTTTAATCTCTTCATTCTCATAGAAAAACTTTATAGGGCTTCTTCCTAATTATGATGTATTGTATTCTCCATTGTGTATGTGTATACATGTGATGATAGGCAATATGAAGAATGAGATTTTCAGATTGTCTTAATTATATTACATGGAAGTCAATGGTTATAAATAAAGGATGGGTTATTGAAAATTGTCTTAGGTTTCAGGAGAATAGTAATCATTCTTACATTGTACAAAAGTACATTGTACAAAAGTACAAAAGTAGTTGTACAGGAAAAAATTTTTTTCAAATTTATATTTGTGGTTACTTTTAAAAAAAATGCTAATCTATATTATCCTTTTTTGGAACTTTTCAGGCACTAAATCAGAAGTACTGAATGTAGATAACCCAGACTTAGCTAAATATCCACTGTTTTCCAAGGCTAGACGGTATGAATGTTCCCTTAAAGCTGGAGATGTATTATTCATTCCTGGTAAGATTTCTAGACTTCAGTAATTTGCTCTTTATAATATTTGTACTCTGTCATCCATCCATTATATGATTATTTTAGTAAAAAAATTTGTTAGATGTATCCTGTCATATACAAGATGATTTTTATACACAGATGTGTGTGTGTTTAAAGTATGCTTAGACAAATTCTTAAAATATTAACAATCTTGTTTTCAAAGGCAACCTATAAATATAATATTATATATATATAATATTATTATACTCTAAGTTCTTTATTCTTTTATTAAAGGATATCAAACAAGATACTTTATATCTGGGAGAAGATTATACCTCATTGTACTTTTAAAATCATTTTGTTTCTAAAATATTAACATGTTTTAGAACTGTCTCTTAAGTATTTACCAAGAAATAGTAAATATATTTCAAAGCCAAGAGAGAGTAGAGATTTTATTAAATATAAAAATGTTAGTTTTAATACCTATGATATCTTTTGTGTGCATTATTTTTCTACAGTCTGAATTAGTGTCACTTAATGTTTTTGAACAGTAAATAGACATTAGTTATTGTTAGTAACCAGTGATATAATTAACATCTGTAATTATTATGCAAAACTGAATACCTGAAGATTATAAAGATTATAAAATCATAATTAAGATTAAAGGGATACATTAACAAATTCTATTTATATAGTTTTATTTTCCATATCTAAGTTAATATGTTTAACTTTTCAGTGATAATAAAATTAAGTTAAAAAGTATTAATAATAATATGTTCTCATTTGGGACTAGATTATAAATTCTTTTGAGGACAAGAAACCATGTTTTCTTAATCTTTGTATTGTCCTGATAAAATGTCCTTCACATAATTGTGTATAAAAATTTGACACCTTGGGGCATCCCTGGTGGCGCAGTGGTTGAGAGTCTGCCTGCCAATGCAGGGGACACGGGTTCGTGCCCCGGTCCGGGAGGATCCCACATGCCGCGGAGCGGCTGGGCCTGTGAGCCAGGCCCACGTACTGCAAAAAAAAAAAAAAAAAAATTTGATACCTTGACTTCTTAATCTTCATTGAAAACAAGCAGCACATTTTTTTTTTTAACATCTATATTGGAGTATAATTGCTTTACAATGGTGCGTTAGTTTCTACTGTATAACAAAGTGAATCAGCTATACATATACATATATCCCCATTTCTCCTCCCTCTTGTGTCTCCCTCCCACCCTCCCTATCCCACCCCTCTAGATGGACACAAAGCACTGAGCTGATCTCCCTGTGCTATGTGGCTGCTTCCCACTAGCTATCTATTTTACACTTGGTAGTGTATGTATGTCCATGCCACTCTCACTTCGTCCCAGCTTACCCTTCCCCCTCCCCGTGTCCTCAAGTCCATTCTCTACATCTGTGTCTTTATTCCTGTCCTGCCCCTAGGTTCTTCAGAACTTTTTTTTTTTTTTGGATCCCATATATATGTGTTAGCATAATTTGTTTTCTCTTTCTGACTTACTTCACTCTGTATGACAGACTCTACGTCCATCCACCTCACTACAAATAACTCAATTTTGTTTCTTTTTATGGGTGAGTAATATTCCATTGTATATATGTGCCACATCTTCTTTATCCATTCATCTGTCAATGGACACTTAGGTTGCTTCCATGTCCTGGCTGTTGTAAATAGTGCTGCAGTGAACATTGTGGTACATGACTCTTTTTGAATTATGGTTTTCTCAGGGTATATGCCCAGTAGTGGGATTGCTACAACCAGCACATATTTTTTAAATCCATTGCCATTACTTAAATTTTGGGGTTTTGTGTCTTGAGAGCATGGTTAACAGTGATGCAATTCTCCCTTATTCTGTATACAACTTTAAAGGAAGAAAAAAAACAAAACAAAAAACAGAAATACTGAACATTTGCATATATTTTGAAGTAAGAGCAAAAGTCCCATCTTTGGATGTAAATTTAATAGAATGGTTACCTTTTTTTCCTGTTATATTGAATATGGGAAAAAAGTTCTGAAAGAAAGAGTAGTTAAGATTAAAACCATGTTTGGAACCTGGTTTTGTAAATCAAAATATTTTAAGCTTTTGTTTCTCCTAGAGCACTCAGAAAGAGTTTGCTTCTAAAATTTAGCATCTTATAAATCTTCCTTTCTCCTTTCCACAAGATTAAACTTTTTTTGGATGTGACTAGTATTTCATCTTTATTATATTGTAGTGTTGCATTAGTATTTCTGTAGTACCTGTGTTTTGAAAATATTTAGACTCAATTGAAAACAAAGAAGTAAGCTTTCTAGTGGAAGTAAAATATTAATTAGCTATATGATAAAAGTTTACTCATCCTCTCCACAACCAAAATATTTGCTTTAGTTTTATATACTTATTATAAAGGAGCTGAAAGAAATATAAGACGATTATAATTGCATTAGAAATGTAAAACGGAGGAGGCTACAGTGAATGCAGATTCAAGCAAGTTAGAAAACCAAACGCAGCTTGCACAGGAAGTCTTTGAGAACAAAAGTACTGTACTGAGTCAGAAAAGGTCAAAGATACTCCTCAAATAATTGAAATGTTCTATGTATAAAAAATGAACACTTTTGATGTGGTTGTGTGACTCAGGAAGTGTAAACAAGTAACACAAAACACAGCCCCAAATTACAGAACTACAAAACAAATATAACTTTATTATGTCTTTCAAGTTAAAAGGAAAAATTGCTACTTCCAAAGGTTTTAAACGTAGGGTTGTGCTATTGACACTTTAAATTGGTTGGCAATTCATAAAAGTTAAAATGATTCTGTTAAAAGCTGGGAGTGTGCTAACGAAGAGATCTAGTTATAAGAATTATTTCTTGCATTGGCTATAATGCAATTCGTGATATTTCACTGACATTTTGGTTTTTTTTTTTAACTGTAGCTTTTATTTTTAACTTTTTTTTTTTTTAAACTTCTCCAGCTTTATGGTTCCATAATGTAATATCTGAAGAGTTTGGAGTGGGAGTGAATGTCTTTTGGAAGCATCTTCCATCTGAATGCTATGATAAAACGGATACCTATGGAAACAAAGATCCTACAGCAGCATCAAGAGCTGCACAAATTTTGGACAGAGCCTTAAAAACCCTGGCTGAATTACCAGAGGAATACAGGGACTTCTATGCACGGCGAATGGTCTTGCACATTCAAGACAAAGCCTATAGCAAAAACTTTGAATAAATATTGAAGTGAATGCAGTGAGCATAAACTTTTAAATACAGTTCAACTCAAATATTGGAAAAGTATAACAAGATGTAAATTATTTTTTTAAAGATTTATCCTTTGTTAAAATAGGAAAGATAAATCAATCTCCGATTTACAGATTAAATAAGTATGAAGGCATATTTGTGTGGTTTCTACTTAATACAGATTGTTATGGTTGAAAAAGTGCTGCAGTGGGACAGCTCTTTAGCTTTCAGGTGCAAATAACTAAAAATCCAACTTAAAATGACCTAAACAATAAGAAAATGTATTGAATCATTATACATGAAGTCTACTGATAGAAAGGGCTTCAGTATTTCTATTCCAGTGATTCAGAAGGGTCACCAGGAACCTTTGGGGTTTTTTTTCTCCCCTGTTTTCAACTGCAGCATTGGCATCATACTAGTGCTGGCTTCCCTCGTGGTCATGGGATGGTTGCCAATAGCAGTTGGGGCGGGGTGCATGTTCATTTACATGAAGTGGAGGAATCAGGGAGGATTCCAGGGGCCCTCTTAACATGCAGAGCTTTCCCAGAATTTGCCGCCAGATGCTTGGGTCTCATCCATCTAAAGTGGCTTAGACCTGTCCATCCCTGAGCCAGTCACTGGTAAAAGATATGGAATAACTCTTAGGGTCAGTTGGAGCTACTGGAGCTGGAAGTAGAATCTACTGCCCCTGAGACACATGAGGTAGAATGGATAATTTTTAGAATCAGAATCCAGATAAGGAAAAAACATGGGCAACGAACAATATGTACTACATTAATCTTTTGAGTTTTTTATAACATACACATGCCTAGGCCCCATCTTTGTAGACTCTGATTCAGTATTTTTAGGGTTTGGCATAGGTGTCTATTTAATAGAACTCATAGATTGTTTTGATGCATAATTAGGATTGAGAACAACTGGATTAGATGATAGTGATTTGGACTATTAGTTTTGTGATTTGTCCAAAGCAAGTGTTTAATCTGATCCTGGTTTTCTTGGTACCCAGTAAAAGTTAGGCCTGCCCTTTTCAGTTTTTGAATGTCAGAAAATATTCAAATCAGTTTTAATTTATAACTATGGCTAAACTTTAACCTAATTCAAGTTTTCCCCAGTAGATATTTTCTGCCTATCCCCCTTTTTAAAAAAAAATTTATTTTAAGAATGAATACATGAGAGATCCCAATAACATCATTATTGAAGACAATCAGCGATTGTATGTGGATCTATGCCATTCTTTGTTTTGCACCTAGTAATTTTATTGCAATGTCATTGAAGAAAGCCCATATATATTTACTGAATACAAATGTGCCCATCTAAAGCAATCTGAGTATATCGATTTAGTGCATTTTAATTATGGAGAAAACTTTCTCTTTTAAAAATAATTTATCCACTCATACCGTGTTTGGAGTTGGATTAATTTCAGGTATAGAAAGCAAATTACAACAAATAAGAAAGGAAAAGTATATAAAAAATTGTTCTCAACTTCGCAGGCATCTTTGGGAAGAGAGAATGAAGTTACTCAGGTCAACAAAAGTAAGAAGTCTGTCAAAAAAAATTGTTTTATATCTAATTTATTAGATTTTGATTTTGATTATTTCTTAGGTTAAGCAAAGAACTTCTTTAATGGTTTTCTTTGGGAAGAAAAAAAAAAAGCAAAACCCCTTTTAGTTGGAATAGTATTTAGAGTCAGCTCTTTAGTAAACTTTTTTTTTTAACCAGTAAGAGAATCAGTGCAAAATATGTATGTCCAGAGTCATGTGGAAAACTAGGAAGTAAAGCTGAGATTACAATTTGCCTAACGAATATTCATTTTAATTCAGTTTATTTGGAAAGTAAACTGGACGACTTTAGGCAAGTTAATCTCCTAAGAAGCTTACTTTCCTCATCTTTAAAATAAAACTTGAACTTTATAGGATTGCTACAGAAATAAAGGAGCTAGCTCAAGGGCAGGAACATGGTTGATGGCTGGTGCTAGCTTCCATTTAATATTCCTTTGCTGAGAGATTTGAGGTAGTTCCTGCTGCAACATTAAATTATATCTACAATAATGATGAATCCTTTGGGAGGTTTTATTTATTTTGGGGGGGGTTTAACATTCCTGATCATAATTTTTAATGTTAGGGTCTTTTATTTTTTTTTGGCCATGCTGCGCGGCATGTGGGATCCTAGTTCCCTGACCAGGGCCTGAACCCATGCGCCCCCTGCATTGGAATCGCAGTCTTAACCACTGGACTGCCAGGGAAGTCCCCTAGGGTCTTTTATTTTAAATGCAAAATAGTTTAATCTTTTTGCCTACCTGGCTGAGACCAAATGAGATGTTTTTCATATATAAAATAGTACACAGCATGTTAGCTGCAACTTGTCAGGAATTCCAAATCTCAGAATGTTGTTGCTGAAAGGGATCTTAGAAATCATCCAGTCAATCCAGATTGCTTAAATGACTGTCTAGGCTGACACAGCTGGGTGATAGAAACTTGAAATTATAGTTGTGGTGCCCAGATTAGTAACTCTCCATTTTTACCCTTAGGTGCAGCTCATCTCAGATACTTAGGGATACATTATATAGTTATTCTCTGGTTACAGTTCAGGGGCACAAAGGAATTTTTTTCCTCTGCCAGCAAGACAACTCAATGTGCTGCTTGCTACACAGAAAAGAGATACAAAGTAAGATGAATGAACAGGTAGACAGTAGAGTGTAATAGAAAAATGGAATAGTATGCAGTCAAAGAATGAGACAGGTATGTGTATGTACTGGCAATTTATTTTCCCAAGGTAATTAAATGAGAAAAAGGTTTGAAACTATGAGTACAGTACGATGCCATTTGTGTAAAAGGTATGCTGTAAATAAACATTTATTTGTATGTGCATAGAATTATCTCTGCAAGGATACATGAGAAACCAGTGATAGTGACTGCCTCTGAGGTTAGACAAGTAGATAGGCAGACTGGAATTTGCAGTTATTATCTGATTTTTTTTTTTGCCCTGGTATATTTTATTCTTGCAAAATAAATTTTAAAAATACACACGAAGATTGTAATTATTTTCTTCTCACAAACATGAACAGTATTTGTCTTGGTACATTAATTACATCTGAATTCTATTTATTCAGTAATTTCAAACTTGTCACTTCGATGAAATATCAAAACAAGGGAAACAAGGTCAACATGGCTTATTTTCTATCCTTTTGAACAGCAGCTATGTGAACATTTGGAAAGAACCTTAGTAATGAGGCTTTTCCTTTTTTTTTTTTTTTTTTTTGTGGTACGTGGGCCTCTCACTGTTGTGGCCTCTCCTGTTTTGGAGCACAGGCTCCAGACGCGCAGGCCCAGCGGCCACGGCTCACGGGCCCAGCCGCTCCGCGGCATGTGGGATCTTCCCGGACCGGGGCTCCGCGGCATGTGGGATCTTCCCGGACCGGGGCTCCGCGGCATGTGGGATCTTCCCGGACCAGGGCATGAACCCGAGTCCCCTGCATCGGCAGGCGGACTCTCGACCACTGCGCCACCAGGGAAGCCCAATGAGGCTTTTCTTACCCATCTAATGTTGCCAATAGACATCAAAGCTTAATCTAAGAAGTTGACCCCCACCAAAAAATGCAGGAAGCGGCAATGCACATCTGGATGGAGTTGGAACTGGGCCGCTGTGACTCCTTCCCCCAGTGCTAAAAAACAGATATAGTCAGGAGGAACTAACATAGATTGGTAGTCACCCACATATCTCTGGTGTTACCTTACAGTCTTTTTTCAAGCATACAGGCCATGGGTGTTTAGATGTCTTAAATACACCTAAGTTATATTGTATTTTTTCAAGTTCCATTAAATAGGATACAAAAATGACCATCCTAAGTGACCGCCGGTCTCTACCACTAAGAGCTGCTTGGCCTCTCTGCCTTTGTAAAGAGCAACCTGAATTCACAGATGTCTATCTACATGAATATCTTATCCTCTAAAGCATGTTTCTCTTAAAAGCCCTTAAATGAAGTGTTAACAGAATAGCTCTTTTAAGAATAATACCTTTTGTTTCATATTTTTCCTCTTAAGCCTTAGTCTATTACACATTTCCATCCTCACATGCTGAAACTGTTTTGTCTGTACTGTATCCTCAGTGCCTAGACCTTCTTTGCCCTTGGTGGGGCTTAGATATTGCATGAATGAAATGAAAAACAGATCACACCATATTCTAACCAAGTCTCTTGATGATAGCTAAAGGAATACAGATGATTAGCATAGAAAAGGAAGAACTTACTTATTTTTGAGAGATTTTGTTGTTTAGGAAATCCAACAGAAGGAAATGATGCTATTTTTTGTGGAGCAATTTAAAGGAAAAGAAGAGATGTATTTTTATAGGAAAGGTTCAAAGTTGCCTGTATGAAAAAACATGGAGGTTAATGAAAACACACACAAACCCAAACTGGCAAAGTGGAGAGAAAGCGCTTCCTTCCAAATAACGATCTAAAGTTTTAACAAATCTAGTAACAAACAGCACATCCAAACAGACTTCTATGGATTAAATTTAATACAACTGTACATTCATGCTGTGGTGGTAACAACTTTCACATTATTTGTTTGACTACTTTTCTCAGTTGACTCTTTCATGACACAAACACAAAGGCACAATCCAAAGGATACACTAACATTTATAATAGTTTTAAACAAATGTGGAGAAAGAACAAATTTTAAGTATTAAACAAATATTTGAATATGGATCAACTTGAATATATTTTCATTAAAGAAAATATTTTTAGTTTTCAACACTGTCTCATTTTGATGCAATGGCAATTCCAGGTGTCCCAGAGAGTTATTCTTAATATCCATTCAACATATAACAATTACAGTTAAGCATTTACATGGCTGGATAGCTACAAGGGCCATATTTAAAGATCTCAGATTTTTAAATGAATCTTTCTGCTAAAAGTCATACGTTTTCCATTTTAGTTAATCCTGTAGAAATAAATGCCTTTCCTTCCCTCCCCTCATTAAAGTACTCAGTAACTTAGCTATGTTACATTAGATACACATAAATTTAACCAAGGATTACTAAACGTATTGAAAGAAGCCATCCAATCAATAATGGTGCTTTAAGATAAGGTAATAAGTCAAATGTTAGAATCAGGCTGACTTGTTTCCTTGTTGGGAATTTTGGGTCTCAAAAGAAAGTGCAGGTATTTAAAAGAAACCAAAGCAAAAATATAAAACAACTGTACTTCATCCTTAAGAAAAAAAACACTGAAAGATACTATTCTGAAGTTCATACAATTTAAGCATCTGGTAAGTAAAAGTCCTTTCTTATAAGTCTCTGAATATTTGGAATGTATTTATAGAGTCATTAAAATATAATTCTGGGACGAAACCAAGAAATTAACATTTTAAACTATTGTTTTATATATTTAGACACTCTGGGTTATTGATATTAAGCTTCAGTCTTTTTTTCTTTTGCAGTCTGAAAGCAGCATGTTACTTCCCTGCTTAATTATTTCATGACCTGCAAAAGCTAATTATTAATAAACAATTTTTAAAAAGACCACTAGCCTTTTATTGTAATCTTTCAATGTTAGTTGACATTCATTAGATCTTGGTTTCTCAAGATGTATTTATCTAGGTCAAGAAAAATGGGCAGAAGGAAGCCTCACCCAAATTATGTAGCAGTGTTAAGCAAATTCAGTCTTTGAGCCAAAATTAAATCATTTGTGTCTTCAAACTTTCTCTTTCAACTTTTCATACAGCAATATAGTTTTACATTTTGGCCAAGGAGAGATGCTTTCTTTGGGCAGACAAAATCATGCTTCAGAAGAAATAGTGACTTAGTTCTATAGAATCTGTCTCCTTTTCAATAGGGCACTACCAAATAGAGTATTATATTTTACCTAAGTTGCTCTCTTTCAAAAGATGATAGGATGAAACAATTTAAAATCTGTACTATATTTTTACCCAGTATACATAATTATGTTCAACTTGAAACAATTTTCCAAAAGAACTGTTTTTTTGCCAAAATGCAAGAAACTCCAAAATGTCTTATCCAAAAGTTGTCAATTAAAAATTAAGCCACAGTGCTTAAGTGTAGTATTTTTAAAAACTAACTTTACACTACTGCACATTCTTAGATATGTGGAAACAAATACATTTTGACTCTTAAGAAAAAACACTTGATGGCACAATGAAGAATGACACCATAAGTTTATAAACATAAGAGGCAGGGTATAGTTATTGCAAATTGATGGAAAACATCAGTGTGCCTTCACTTTGTTTGAAGAGAAACAGTGTTTCCACTCAAAAGTTTTCAGTGCCAAAATACCTAATTACCCTTAAAGTATCATCAAAATTGGTTTTAAACATTACTCAGAAAATAAACTATTTCCAACAATAACAATCTTAATTGCCTTTTATAAGGACTATATTATAACTTTCATTCTTAAGGGTCTTGTATCTCCCTGTAGGATTATCACAAACCACCTTCTGGATTTCAAATAAACTAATTCTAACCCAGTCCCAATTAAAAACTATCCACATTCACAAGCAAGGAACACTACTGCACATTATACTCATAGTTTAGGAATGTGTGCTTCCTTCCCCCCACCCCCAACCAAAAAAAACCTGACAATGCATCTATGAATTACATCTCATTATCTGAATTTATAGCACAAAGTGCTTCTGCTCTTCTGCATTAATAATACTGCAGTCTCAAAATACTTCATGAACCCTGAAGTGATTCTCTATGGAAGGAGCTTCGTTTGCAAAATGAATTTGGCTAGTCACCTGCATACCAAAATCTCCAAGTATCTGAACAAATTTCTTGTGCTCCTTTCCAATCCAAGATCTCATTGGATCATGTACTTGGTAAGGTGTTACATGGGTGTGAACAATAATCCCTGTTTGTGCAAATTCTTTCAAGATTTCTGGATAAGTAATCCAAGTATTGCTTCCCCCAGAATGACCGCCATCCAGCCAGTACATTGTTTTTATGCTTTTGATAAAAGCATCAATGTTCTTGTCTTTCTTGGCTTCTTTCAATTCAAAAAGCAACTGATTCAAAACAACACAACCTTTACTGAATCCAATCAAAGTAAAAGAAGCACCATTTAGTGATGGTGGATAAAAACTCATGGCAGACTCATCACATTTTTCACAGGTCCTCTCTTTTTCTCCCCGGCAACCATTAGTAGTATGAGAAGAACTGGATCTACAATTAGATGCTTTGGCGTCCTTATTCAAATCTTTCACATTCTTCTTTGGTAGCAAACTCTTCTGACTTAAGTTAAAAGCATTAACTAATAACGTATAAAGGTGCTTAAAAGCTCCAAAGTCAGTATTGTGTTCTGGAGCACCAAACATATTGCTTTTCACAAAATTGTCATAGCAGCTGAATTTGTGCAAATGCATTCGGGAACACTTTATCACCCAAATATAACTATTGGGGAACCGGTGGGCTAAAATGGTGGCAACATTTTCTAGACTCCAGTTTTCCCACTGATAATTCTCAGGATGACGAGTCATAATTTCATGGTAATTCTGAAAGGTAAGAAAGATAAAACAAATATTAAATACACAGTTATGTAAAATTATTTCCACAAAATTAGTTTCCCATTTTTATTGGGGAGGAAGTAGGGATGTTATAATGACCTATGGTTAATGTACTAGAAATGAAAACTATAAATCTATTACCTTCTGGCTTTAAGATTTTAAACAAATCACTTCTTCAGTTTAAGCCTCAAATCCATCAAACACAGGGTTATAAGATAAAGCTAAATAGCACAGTAGAAATTTTAAAAATAAAACACTTTAGAATGATTATAGATTTTTAAATGGATTTTATTTATGATCTATTTATGATCTATACATATGATCTATTATTCCTAAGACATTAACTGAAAATAAAAATTTGGTTTCTTAGATTTTTTGACCAACACAGAATTCTAAAATATTTTCCTATTAAAGCTGCTATCCTGAACTCCTCCCTCTTTGGATTACTCTAGCAACCTGAATGCTATGTTTAATTTCAATTTTAGTATTACAAAGCTGCAATGAACATTATAGAAAAATCTTCATGTACATCTGTGATTACATCCTTAAAAATAAATTCCCAGATGTGGAAAAACTAGGTCAAAGAATATTCATAATTTAAGGTTGACTATATAGACTACAATACTGTCTTCCAGAGAAGTATGTATAATTTTTCTTTTATCTTTGTTAAATTTCATTGGCACAGGATAACTTATTCTAATTTGAATTTATTAAAAATTTAAATGAAGTTGAAATTTTGTTCATATATTTATTAGCCATCTGGATTTCTACTTGTGCCTGTTCATATCTTTTGCCTTTTTTTATTTGGTTTATTTATAAGTATTCTATATATATTAATAACTTTTTGTTTATGTTCTAGGACGTACATGTAAGTTTTGTTTTCCTTTCAATTTTTATTCATAATATCCTTAAAAAAGGGAAATTCATTCAAATTTATTTCATTTATTCTATAAAATTTATTGGATACCTACTGAACAGTCATGGATCAGAACAGATGAAACCCCTGCCCACACAGAGTGCACATTCTAGTACAGAGATACATAATAACTCCATGAGTTAATAGAGCAGCACCCTCCAACAGAAATATAACATGAGCCACATGTACAATTTTCTAGCAGCTACGTTAAAAAAAAAGTAGAAAGTTAACAGGTGAAAAAAAAATTTTTTTTTTTTGGCCACGCCCTGCATCATGCAGGATCTTATTAGTTCTCTGACCAGGGATTGAACCCATGCCCCCTGTAGTGGAAGCATGGAGTCTTAACCACTGGACCGCCAGGGAAGTCCCCAAATTATTTTTAATAATACATTTTATTAAGCCCAATATATCCAATATATTATCATTTCAACATGTAACCAACATAAAAAATACTGAGATTATTACATTTCTTTTTCTTTCTAAGTTTTTGAAATCTAGTGTATATTTTACACTTACAACACATCTCAATTTGGGTGCTAAATTTTCATCGGAAATACTTGATCTGAATTTAGATTTCATAAGATTTACAGTTGCAAAAGTAGATTCACATACCCAAGTTGCTCAAACACAAAAGTTTTCTAGGAACTGAACTGAGTATCAGTTTTTAGATTTAAATTTAAAGTTAAATACAATTTAAAATTTAGTTCTTTGATTACACTAAATTTCAAGTGGTCAATAGCTATAAGTAGCTAGTAGCTAGACAGCACAAGACATTATACGGTGATAAGTGTGATGGATAACAAAGCAAGGGAAAAGGAGCATAAAGTTTTGGAGTGGGTGGAAGATTATTATTTAAACACAGGGTAGTCTCCAATAAGGCAATAGCTTGAAGGAGCTGAGGGATTGAGTCATGATTATTTCAGTCATAAGAAACTGCAAAAGGACCTGAAGTGGAGCCATCGTTGGTGTAACCAAGATACACCAGTGAGACCAGTGTACCTCCAGTGAAGTGAAGAAGGAGCAAAAGTGACCACTAAGAGGGTCACAGAGATCGCTGGTGAAGAGGGGAGGTGCTGGTGCCTCATAAGATACACTGAGGATTTTGGCCTTTGCTCTGATAGGGTGTGGAGTAGATGGCTGATATAATCTGTTTGGAAGGATTACTCTGACTCCTGTGTGCAAAGGGGCAACAGTTTGAAGCAGGGAGACCAGTAGGAGGCTACTTAAGTATAACCCCAATGAGAGAAGGTGGCTCGAACCACAGTGGTAGTAGAAGCAAAGGTGGTAAGAACTGGTCAGATTCTGTATATATTTTGAAGGTAGAGTCAACAGCATTCGCTAATGGACTGGGTATAGGGTGTGAGAGAAGGGAAATGGAACTGTACTTTTTCCTTATTTCTAACAATCATATACCAAACATTTTTAAATGCACCTCTCTTTTGACCTAGTAATTCTACTTCTAGGAATTTATCTCAGGGATATACTTGCACACATGCATAAATAAATCTGTCTAAGGACATTTATTCCTGCTTCAGAAGAATGAGGCAGTTCTGTGAGCACTCATACGGGTTGTAAAATCAGGGCTAAAAAACCCCCTGAATGCTGAGCTATCATTTGTGTTTAAAAAAAAAAAGTTTGCATCAGCATAGAACATCTCTGGAAGGACATATAAATCAGTAACAATGGTTAGCCTTAGGGAAGGGAAATCGGAGACTGCCTCCAGTCATCCAAAGGGATGAAAAGGAGACTTATTTTTCAATGCACAACCTTAAATAAAATGAATTTTTAGCAATATACACATTTTTCTATTAAAAAAATTAAGACTAATAATAGTAATACTACAAAAATTTAGTCTACATGCAAAGGTATAAGGAAGATATAAAACCACCAATCCATAAAACCACCATTAGAAATAATCACTATTAAAATTTTGGTGTCTAGTATTCCAGTGTTCTGTAGTATACATACACATATACAAGTATGTATGCAAGAGAGCGTTTCTTTATTTCTTCCCTCAGCAAGATTATAACATACAGTTTTCACTTAAAAATGTTACAGGCATGATTCCTTATCAGTAAGTATAGATTTGCATAATTTTTAGACTTCCCATCAAAAAGATTAATACCAATTGACACTTCCACTGGAAGTATACATGAGTGCTTTTTTTCTCACATCCTTACCCACACTGGCTATTAGCATTAATTTTTAAAAAATCTTTGCTACTAAGATAAAATGATATCTTACTTTTAATTTGCATATTTTTATTCCTAATCAGGTTGAACATTTTTCTATGTTTATTGGCAATTTTCATTTGTTAATTCTCTATTCGTATCTTTTGATAACTTTCCCAACAGGATGCTCAAGTCCTTCTTAACAGTTTTTACCTCATTAACATTAAGTTTGTCATATATGTTAAAAAAAATCTATTCCCAGAAGGCCATCATTTAATTTTTTATGGATTCTGCTACTGCCTTCTGCACATCCAGATTTATGAGATATAAAATTATCATAGGAGCTTAGATCTGAAAGGGCTCATCTAAATCCTTTTTTTTTTTTTTTTTTTGATAAATATCTCTTTTTTTATTTCAGTGAGACAACAAATTTGGGCCCTTTCCCTTGTCCCTACCTATAAGAAATCTACACTCTTTTTCTGCACAGAACGCTTTCGTCCAAAAAATGAAAGAATTTGCAATTCAGGCACCAATGTAAAGAATAGAGGGAAGAAAATGAAAGGAACTACCCCCACATGCAGAGGTGGGCATGCGCGCACACACGGGCATCATCAGAAAGGGAAGGAACAAATTTCCAACACAAATTGAAAGGTGGAAATATTCTTGCCTATTGAACTTTGACTTCCATTTCTTCATATATTCATCAGTGGGCATTTGTGGGTCACTAAGCACAGTTCACAGTCCCTCAAGAACACAGTCCAGTGGGAGAGACAGAGATAAATAATTACAAGGCAATATGATAACTGCTGTAAAGCAGGGATATGTGAAGAACTGTGAGGGGACATAGAGAAAGGGAGACTCAAGCTATGTTTTGGGACATCAGAGAAGGCTCCACAAATACATGAGCTCAGTTTTGTAGTATTAGTAGAAATTCCAGAATTATGCAGTAGAATTCCTATTATGTCTGAAGTAGGAATATTAGTCAGGTCTTCATAAAGACACCCAAATATTAGTTGGGAAGAACAGAGCCAACACTGAATTATTCTATGGATTCCGAAATAGCTAGTTATAAGTGCCAAATACAAAAGAAAGCACAAATATCTAAATCGTTTTTATTGCTAAGGAAACTGATCTCCTACAAACTATATAGTTATTTATATTATATAGTTATTTAATGAGCTAAAATGAATAAGATTTTATGGCTCTGTTTAGTCTCTACCACATAGAAGGTGGTAAACCTAAAAACTTTGTATTTTCTTTGATTAACCTGAGGTTACATGATCAGAGCAGGAAAATGCTCATACTAAGTAACTGTGTGTATGTACTAAAATGCAAAAATAAGATTGTTACTCTTGTGTCTAATAAGTCCAAATCTAAGAACAATGGATAAGTACTCCCACATTCTAGAAGGAGACACCAGACATCCCCATAGGACTTGCTAACAGGTAGTCAAAACCAGTTCTGCAACCCAGGCTACTATACAAGGCCAATCTACAGAAGAGGTGGAAGAACATGGGAAAAAAAGGTTTTCTTTTGAGAGAGTTTTCATCCCAGTTGGGAATGCAATGCACTTACTCTCCCTGTAGGGGTTAAAGGGTAGGAGGCATGCTTCCTCATCCCCAGTGAGGTAGGTGGCAAGAGAATCTCCTGGAGAGATTAAGGGGTAGTTACTCCACAGGTAGATGCTTGCTGACCTGCAAAAACATAAAGGCCCATCCCACACTGCTACTGAAGTACTGGTACAAAGGATTTTTAGGAAAACTTGACATGTGTCTCCATGATAAAGACTTAAGTTAGGTGGACTATTGTTATAGCAGAGTGAGGAGAGCTATATAGGGTACGAGCTGTACTTCCATAAAAAATGGGTCAAGGGGGCATCTTCGCTGAGCATAAAGTGGACATCTCACGTAAGCAAGCTAAAAGGACCGTAACAGGAACAGCCTAAGAAGGCTGCTTGACATAGCACACGAAGCCCCAGGGTATATGTTCAGATATGAAATAGTAGAGTGTGTGTGTGTGTGTGTGTGTGTGTGTGCCCATGGTTCTTGGCACAGAGCTCCTAAAACCCTTGGAATTTCATGGGTGACAGGGGTTGGTCACCAGAAAGACCAAGACATGATGAGAAGTTTGGAACTTTCAACCCCACTCCCCATTCTCCAGAGAGGGACTGGAAATAAAGTTAAAGACTGATCATACCTATGCAATGAAGCCCCCATAAAAATCCCCAAAGTACAAGTTTGGATAGCTTCCAGTTGGTGAACACAAGGAGGTGCTCGAAAGAGGTGCACTCAGAGAGCATGGAAGCTCTGCACCTCTTCCCACACACCTTGCCCTGTGCATCTCTTCCATCTGGATGTTCACCTGTATCCTTTATCATATCCTTTCATAACAAATGGGTAAACAGTACGTAAACTGTTTTCCAAAGTTCTGTGAGCCATTCTAGCATACTAACTGAACCCAAGGAGGGGGATCGTGCAAACCCCAATCTATAGCTGTTCAGTCAACAGTACAGGTGATAAACTGGAACTTGGCGACTGGCATCTGAAGTGGGGAGGGGAAAAGACTTGTGGGACTGAGCCCTTAACGTGTGGAATCTGACACTAACTCCAGGCAGATAGTATCAGAAATTGAATTGAATTATAGGACACCCAGCTGGTGTTGCAGAGAATTGCTTGGTGTGGGGGGAAATAACCACACATCTGTTGTCAGAAATATTCTGAGTGTGTTAATAGTGTGAATAGCAAAGGAGAGTCACATAGGAGAAGTGAGTCTTTTCCTACCCAGCAGGACATACACTTAGGGCATGGTCATCTATATATCCTAGTGTTTAGGAAAGCAAAAGTTTTTAAAAGCTGAACTTGGAAATGACCCAAATGTTCATGAACTGCTGAATGGGTAAGCAAATTGTATGTCCATACACAGAAAATTACTTGGCATTAAAAAGAAATAAACTTCATGACAGAAACAACAGAAAGAATGAATTTCAAAAGCATTAGGCTAAGTGAAAGAAGCCAGACACAAGACTACATACTACATGATTCCTAACTAATAAAAATCTAGAAAAGGCAAAACTATACTGAAAAGAAAGCAGATTAGTGGTTGCCTGTGGCTGAGAAAAGAGATTGACTAAAAGTAGGGCACAGGGGTACTTTTTAGGGTGATCAAGATGTTGTATTACATGATTATTGTGATGGTTACATAATTGTATTCGTTGAAATTCATCAAATTGTAAACTTACACTTAAAAATAGAAATAGGGCTTCCCTGGTGGCACAGTGGTTGAGAGTCCGCCTGCCGATGCAGGGGACACGGGTTCGGGCCCCAGTCTGGGAAGATCCCACAAGCCACGGAGCGGCTAGGCCCGTGAGCCATGGTTGCTGGGCCTGCGCGTCTGGAGCCTGTACTCCGAAACGGGAGAAGCCAGAACAGTGAGAGGCCCGCGTACCACAAAAAAAAAGAAAAAAAAGAAATACCTACAATCCTGTATCCTGAGGATTTAAAAAGCAAGAAACTCAAGAAAATTAAACAGTACCTACTTAAAAAAATTCTGATCCCCCTCCAAAATCATTACTGATAAGAAAAACATCATGAGGTACCTAAAGAAAAGTGAATTACTACGGCCTCAGCTTTCCTGTAATTCAAAGGATAAAAGGGCAAGCATAGAACAAAAAAGGACATACAATAAAAGATGACTGCAAGAAGAAAATCAAAAAAGTAATGGTAATTAGCATTTAAAATTACACTGTCAACCAGATCCAATTAACATCAAATAATGAATCTGTGTTAACATGAGGCAAAACTTCTAATGGTGTCTACAAAGTTCTGTTTGGCCCTATTCTGTTCAATATTTATCCAAATTAAAAATAAAGATATAGAAAGAATGCTTATTTAATCTATATATGATATAAATGAAAATAAAGGTTCTAAAAGGATCAATACACTAAAAGATGAGCTGTATCTCACAGGGTAAATTTCATAAGAATAGACATTAGGCTCAAAAGAATCAAGTGCAAAGAGAAGGAAATCTGAGCCTAAAAGCCCTTTATATAATAATAGCCAAGTAGCACTTAATACATTGTTCAAAAGAACTTATACACGTTTATTCATTCAACAAGCTATCTACTGAACACCTACTTCATGCCACTCACTAAGCATCACAGATATAACAGTGAAGAAGACAGACGTGAAGTGTGCATCATACTAGTGGAAGACAGACAAAATCCAAAATGAATAACTAATATAGTAAATGAAATGGATAAAAATGAATTATCTTAATTATTTATTAGGAGAAAAAGTTGACAGGGATCCTGTGCACATGTATGATTATTAAATAGGATGGTCATCAAAGGCCTCACTGTGAAGGCAACTTTTGAGCAAAGACTTGAAATAGGTGAACTAATGAATCCTTACAGACATCTGCAGGAAGATTGTTCCAGGCAGTACATGCAAAGCTTGAGGTCAAGTGTGTCTACCATGAGCAATATGAAGAAGGCTGGTGTGGCTGGAACCTTCTGTGGAGAGTAAAACAAATAAAGGAAACAGTCAAAAAAGCAGCAGGGTGGGAATTCCCTGGCGGTCCAATGGTGAGGACTCCGAGCTTCCACTGCAGGGGGCACAGACTCAATCCCTGGTCAGGGAACAAAGATCCTGCGTGCCAAGCGGTGTGGCCAAAAAAGAGAAAAAAATAAAAGAAAAGCTACAGGGTGGGAAAGGTAAGCAGAGTGAAGGGCTTTGCATGCCATCAAGAGGGCTCTGGCTTTTACTCTGAGAGGCACGGGAAGCTGCTGGTGTTTTGAGCAGAGGTGTGGTATGATCTGACTTAGGTTTTTAAATGATTATTCTGATCACTTCTAGATACATTTAGAAGGTAAAGCCACTTTATTTGCTGATGTATTAAGAGAGGACAAAACGATAATTTCAAGATTTCTAACTTGAGCAACTAAATAGGAAGTGTTTCCATTAACTGAGAGACAAGATGATGACTACAGGAAGAGCAAGTTTAGGGACAAAGATCCAGAGACTTTAGGTTTGAGATATCTATTAAATGTCCGAAAGAAAATATGTGCATGTAACTGGCAAATCTAAACTTCCAGGAATATGTCTAGGCTAGAACACAAATGTTGAAGGTCGTCAGAGTATAGGTAGCATGTAAAGCCACAAGACTGAAAGAGATCACAAAGGGAGTAAAGGTAGTCAGAGGAAAAGTCCAAGAACTGAGCGCTACAGAACTCCCCAATAATTAAAAAGGTCATCAGAAAGAAGGGAGGGTAACTCATTGAGAATTCACATATTTAATCCTCACTGATATCCTATACATCATTATTCCCATTTTGTAGCTGAGCTGGCTGCAACACAGAGAGATTTAACAATTGGCCAGATATTTCATAGCTAAAAAGTGCAGAATCAGGGTTTAAAACTAGGCGATCTGGCCTCAGAGCCTTTGATGCATTATTATTCTCTATTTCTTCTCTAAAAGCCCTGGGTTTTTAGAGGACTTCATACTCTGCATAAATCAACAGTATATCACTGTCCAAAAAGCTAATGGAATCTCAGGCTACATAAAGAAATGGATGATGTCAAAATGAAAGGAGGTATCAGGCTAACTATATTTAGCACTTTATAGACTTCACCTGAATATCTGTGCTATATTCTGACTTGCACACTTTAAAAATATTTAGTAGGTGTTCAATGAAAGTTAGTTATCATTATTATCATCATCATCATTATTATGGATGCACACAGTAGCTGGTCCACAAAACCCTGGAAGTCACTGTCAGCAATGCCATGCTGATTTCCCAAACCGAGCAAAAGGGCATCAACTGAGTACATTAAATTCCTCCTCTTAAATTGAAATACTAGTTTTGATTAGCAGTCAACTAGACCAGTCAATTATTTGGAGGGCAAGAGAAAAAACTATATATACCTTCATCATCATCTGACTCAGGGCACAACGTTTGTAAACATATTTTTTTAAAGCATTAATTTCAAAAACAATAATTGTTTAATAAACTAATTATTTCACGGTTTAAGAAACACATCCAGCCATATTTTAGCTTTACCTGTCTATACCAGCACTACCCAAGAGAACTCTGTGATTATGGGAATGTTCCGTGGAAATGCTCTGTAACTGCACTGTCCAGTACAGCACACACAAACCTTAGGGGCCGCTGAGCACTTGAAATGCAGCTACTGCGACGGAGAAACTGGATTTTTAATTCTGTTTAGTTTAAATTAAATAGCCCCATATAACTAATGGCTACCCTATTAGACAAAGCAGTTCTAGCTTAAGGTCTAGATTAAGGCCCAGCTTTCCAGGACAACATAGCCATGTATATTTGCCTGCAGTTGCAAAATTAATAATAAAGATAAAATCACACACAAAAAAGTACAGAATTTAGGTGAGCATCAGAATATTGACATGCTTAGCAATTACTGTCCCTTTTCTTCCACCCATTCTCCCCTTTTTAGGGTTACTGAGTGTCACACCCTAGTACTAGTATTTTGTCTGTTTACTTTTTAATAACTGCCAGTACGCTAATTTAAAAGCCCTCTCTCCGCCTCCTGCCCCCCTCCCCCACCGATCCTCTGAGAAACCAAGTTACAGAATAAATACACATTTTCTCGTTTCTAGGTCTTAAATTCCACCCCCTCGAAAACTGGACTGACGGCTGGCTCTTTCGAGGTCGTAGCCCTCCAAGGACACCTCCTGTTTAGGGCTCTATGAGGAGGGGGTCAGGGCGTGGAAGGGGCGGTTCTGGATTTCGTGGAGCCACCCCGTTTAGTGCCATGTGTGAGTGTGTTCAGGCGAGGCAAGGAACCGGGCCCCAGCTACGAGGGAGGAATCTAGAGAATTCGCATATGTACAAGAAGAAGGAGCAGGTGCCCAGGAGGCTGCAGGTTACCTGCACATCCCCGGGGAAATAGAGTACGTGATGCTGGGGCGGTGGTTGCGGCTCCTCCTTCGCCAGGTCCCCAGGGAGGTCCCGCCGTTCCGGTCCCTCCCCAGCGGCCGCCGCCGCCGCCAGCAGGACCAACTCGTTGCCTCGCTGCGGGTCGGCTCCCGGCACCGCGGACAGCTGCACGCACTGCTGCCTGCACCGCTCGGCTGACGGGGAGCTGAGCGCGCCGCTGCGGCTGCTGCTGCCGCCCAGGTTCATGGTTCCGGCCTGAGAACTGAACGCTGCGACTCCGATTCCGAGCTGCGGTAGCAGGAGAAGCAGCGGCGGCGAGCGCAGGAGCCCGAACCCCCACATGGGTCGCCGCCGCCAGAGCGGGTCCTAGGGTGTGGGAGGGCCTGAGGGAGGACGTTGGGCCGGGTGCCCAACGGGCTGCGGCAGCGACCCGGGCGAGAGCCGACCCCGAGGGCAACGACGGCGTCAGAGGCCGACGTCCGCGCGCAGCGTGCGTAAGGGAAGGAGGGGTGTGCGCGAAATCCGACTCCGGTTCCCGGAGGGGGCGATGAGAAGGGGGCGTGGCCTGAGGAAGGACGTTTGTGATTGGTGGGTTCTGCCGCGGCCGGGAAGTTCGAACGGAAGTCTGGGAAAGAGCCTGAAGAGAGCAAAGGAAGCGGGAATGAACTGAGAACCCCGAGCAAGAAGGGCGGCAGTTGTGATACAGGCGCAGCAGTAGGTGCTGCCGGAAGGTCGCTTCCAGTACGGGGTAGAGAGTTTTGAGTATACCATGCTCCCCTTTCGGTAAGCTCAACTTTCAGGTGAGGTTTTTCTAGTCCTTCGAGCCTTAAAAGAGATACAACCCCAAAGATTAGAGTAATTCTGTCCTGTTACAGAAATCTGTGGGAAGTTTTCTGCATGCCCTGGTTGAAGGGAATCTCCCTCTTCTCATACTCTCGAGTTTCTTTGTAGGTACACAGAGATTTCTAAGTTCTTGGGAATTTATTTAGATAAGAAGTCTAATGCATCTTTGATTGGTAGCAGGGAGCAGGGCACATGGGGGAAAGGCATTAGTTGTTACACATTTGCTGTCGGTGTTTGCAGTCAACGGGATTTGCTATTTTAAGGTTTTCAAAAACCAGCTTGAACAGTAGGAAAGTCATAGGTGTCCAACAACAATCTGTGACCAGTTGTGTATGAATAAGATTTGGACAAATGTATGCTAAAGACAGGGAAGGGAGGGGAGAGTCCAGTATTCTAAATTTAAGTGCTTGTGAGGCAAGGCACTGTAAAGAACCTTGTGGGAGAGAGTATTAGTGAGAATTTAAAATATTACAGCCAGCATTTATTGAGGCATACTATAGGCCAGGAATTGAGCTAGGCACTTCATATATTATATGAACTGTTCTGAGTTTATATATGTGTGTGCTTAAGCACACATACTGTTTTCTTACTCCACGTATCAAATATTAATAAATAGCCTTGAAGTAAGAGCACAAATTAGCAAATGATAAAATGTAATTTTCTTATATATATATATATATATATATATATATATATATATACTTAGTGACTTCATGGAGGTGTAATATGCTAGCCTACTCTAAATTATTGAGTTCCATCTCACATCATAATAGTGTAACCAATCAAAATTGTTTATTATTCTAAGTATATCTATCTACTGCTTTCTAAAAATAAATGGTTAAAAAGAAGGAGAGGCTAATTATATAATAATGAATATATATTAACCATAGTTTGGCAACCAGCCTTCATTCTATTTTGTGAATCACATGCACGTTGTTACTGTCTCTTGTTAAGTAGAGGATTACTGAAATGTAATCCAAAAGCCCAAACATGTTCATGTACTCCAAATCCAGCTTTTGATTTTTGTGGTCCTGTTTTTAGGTTGACATTTTAACTGAATCTGTCACTATTGATGGGGATGGGGAGTTCTCGTGTTTTGGAAAGAAAATTAATTGTAGTAACCATTAAATATACAAAAAGTTATTTCAATAGCTCTAAGGTAATTGAAGTCTTTGAGAAATACAAATAAAGATTTAAAGGGTAGAGTAAAGAAACAGCCTGAAGTGAGCACAAGGTTTTTTCCCCACAGTCAAGGATTTACACAACCTACAGGAGATGCTTCTAGAAAAAGTAATAGCTCTCAATTCATCAGTTGAGTTATTATGTCATTTATGGTAAGTCATTAACATTGTAATTCCTTCTGATAGGTCCCAGTGATATTATTGAAGTATCTGTTTTCTTTCTTCATCCCCTCTTCCTTTTCCCAGGAAGGCCAGTTTTGTAAATCTCTACTTTTCTAACAGCCATGGGCACAGACAGCCCAGCACTTCCTCTCTTTATTCTCCTTAAGAGCTGGGCTTTCCTTCCTCTCTAGAGATCTTACACATACAAAGTAACTGTAACCAGTTGTTTGAGTTTACTCCTTTCTAACAGATAGAGATCTCCACTAAAAACTATTAGAAATAATAAAGTTCAACAAGGTTGCAGGACACAAGATCAATATACAACACTTAATTGTGTTGCTATACACTAGCAATGAATAATCTAAAATGAAATTAAGAATACAATTCCATTTACAATAGCATCAAAAGGAATAAAATACTTAGGAATAAATTTAATGAAGGAAGAGACTTGTATACTGAAAGCTACAAAACATTGTTGAAAGAATTTAAAGACCTAAATAGCACTGGGTGTTCACTCTGGCCCCTCTTGCTCCAGCACTGATCCCCTCTGAGGTGAAGGTGTCGTTTTTGGGAGAGGGGGAGGTCTCATGCTTAGAAGGAACAGAATCAGCTCAGACCTGGCCCTCAGGGCTTCTGCTCCCACACTTTGGGACCTGATCCTGCCCCTGAGAGGGTGGTGATACCCACTGAGCATAGGAGAAGCCCAGCTTACATGTGGCTCTGGTTCTAGCCCCTCTATCTCCAGCCCCTCAAAAAAGGTGATAGCTACCAGCACACCCTAGCGGAAGACTTGACCAGTGCTCATTTCAGATCCAGCTCTCCCACCAAAGCCACTGGGCACACATAGACTGAATAGAGATGTTTCCAAACAAGGACACCCCTTCAAAACTGGGATAGGTAACTGTTTCACCTAATTTCACAGAGACAGAGAAAGTTAAGCAAAATGAGAAGACAGAGGAATTTGTTGCAAACAAAACAACAAGGAAACAAACCGGAAAAAAGAACTAATGAAACAGAGATTAGGCTCCTTGAAGAGAGGACTGCCAAAACTCTTGTGGACATATTTTAAAGCAACCACACCCAGGCTCCACTCCAGATCATTAGAATTCAGAGATCAAGCACAAGGGGAATAAAATAAGATATCAAGGAGATTTGACTAAGTTATTATTTATAAAATACATAAGATGACTCTGAATGGTGGAAAAAAGAAATCAGACAGGCTAGGGACCTTGGGACTCAAGGAATATCAAGGTGGTGAATACCCTAGATTTTATTTTTGCCTCACATACTGCAGAAGTGATGCTAAAGAATTCAGAAACACCAGTGGACACAGACCAATGTGTGTCTTGAAGTCTCAAGAAAAGCCTCTCCTAGACACAGCACCAGGAAAGGGGAAGCCTTGAAATATAGAAAACTTTCAGAAAACAGATTCTCTATCCCATCCAAATATCACAGAAAAAGACTTTGGCTACACCCAACAAGCAAAGGCTGAGTGAGGAGCCTCAACTTCTTATAATGAGGTACCCCAACACCCCTGCCAGGGTAGTGTCAGAGAAGGCCAAGTAGAGAGCCTGGACTTTCATCTCCATTCCCCGCACACCCCCCCACAGTGCAGTGGATACTACACTGGACTGGAGAGTCAGGACTTTTACCATCGCCCAGCAATAATGAGATCTCCTCTACCACAGTGTCATTATAGACCATGTGGGGAGCCAGAACATCTACATCCAGTAGTAATGAGGAACTGTTCCCTCCCATCCAGTATCAAAACAGGCCAAGTGGGGAATCTGGACTTCTACCTCCACCTGGTAGTAATAAGGTAGCAGCAACCCTTCTCAGCTGGAGTGGTATCAGAGAAAGTGAGTTAGAACCAAAGTTTTAAATAAGATATATAATCATAAAACATAATATAAAATATTCCAGTTTTCATTTGAAAACCACTTATTATAACAAGAATGAGGTAAGTCTCAAACTGATTGAAAAATGACAACCAACATATACCAAAAGTTAGATGTCAGAGATGTTAGAATAATCTGACAAAGATTTTAAAGCAGCAATAAAAAACATGTTGCAACAAGCAATTACAAACACACTTGAAACAAATAGCCTCAAGAAAGAAATGGAAAGTTTCAACAATGAAATAGAAGATATAAAAGAAAATAAAGACATAATGGATGGACTCAAAAGGAGAATGTAGGGAAGAGAGGAAAGAATAAGTGAGTCTGAAGATAGAGTAATAGAAGTTACCCAGTCTGAACAACAGAGATAAAACAGACTGGAAAAAAAAACCTCAGAATGCTAGGGGCTTGTGAGACCATCACAAAACACCTAACATTCATGTCATTAGACTTTTGGAGAAGAGGAGAAAAAGAGTAAGATTGAAAAAGTGTTAAATAATGGCTGAAAAGTACCCAGATTTAGCAAGAGACATAACCTATGGATTTAAGATTCTGAGTGAATCCCAAACAGGATAAATCTAAAGTAATTTATGCCAATACCCATCATAGTTAAACTAAAGACAAAGAAAAAACCTTGGAAGCATCCAAAGAAAACTGACACCTTTTCTATAGGGGGAAAATAATCCAAATGACAGCAAATTTCTCATCAGGAACCATGGAGCGCAGGAGGAAGTAACACAGTATTTTTCAAGTGCTGACAAAAAAGGAACTGTCAATCCAGAATCCTATACCTAGTGAAAATATCCTTCAGAAGTGAAGGGGAAATGAAGACATTTTCAGATGAAAGAAAACTAAGAGTATTTTTAACCAGCAGACTTATCCTAAAAGAATAACTGAACGAAATCTCTAAACAGGAAGGAAACAATAAAAGATAGAACCTTGGAATATCAGGAAGAAAGAAAGAAGCATGGTGAGCAAAATATGGGTAAATACAGCAGGCCTTCCTTTTCCTCTTGAGTTTTTTTAAATTATGTTTGACAGTTGAAGCAAAAAATTACAACACTGTCTGATGCTATAATTTTTCTTCTACATACATATATAAATGTATAGAGGAAATATTTAAGACAGTTATACTATAAATGGGGAAGGGCAAAGAGAGGTATGGTATCTATACTCTAACTGGTAAAATGATGACACCAGTAAACTGTGATAAGTGATGGATATATAAAATAATACTTAGATCCAACTGATTAAGAAT